AATTCTTAAATATAATTATATTAATACAATTATATTAATTATTGTAATAAAGAAATAAATTTCTTTTTAATTCTTTGATTATTATAAGTAAATTTAATAATAATACTGAATCTATTTTAAAGAGAGTAGCAAGTGGGGAAGGGAATATCTATAGGGTTGTGTTGAAGAATGTCGGGAATGAAACATATTTCTTGAACTCCGCGTATCAATCACTTCGCAATTCATTACCGTGATTAGCGAATTAGCGATTAATTGTCAAAGCAATGGCAACTTTGTAGAAGAGACAAGATATCGGAAAGTCTTAAACGATATTAATTCTTTATTTTTTATCCGTGCGTATTTCCAAACAAAAGCGACAATTAAAGACTTTTCCTTATTTATTTTTATTTACACATCTATTTATTTTGCGAATTTAAACGAGACGTGAATACTCTTTTAATATCATTCTTTCTTTTTCGCGAAGAAGAAGAGAAGCAGAACAAAGTAAAATCGTAATAATATAATAGATCAGACGCGCAGCAGTGTGAGATTCCGATTCTTTTAGGAAAAATATAAAAATTGCGAATATAATTCAGCTATCGCAATTAGCTATTATTGCGTTTGATGAATCAAGCTTAAGAGTCCGTATTATGAAATTATTTAGAATGGATTCCCATTAAAATTATTCAATTATTCCCTAGATTTCTATTGTGTTTTCTGAAGATAATTTATTAATTCTGATCATTCCAATCCAATTTGTTCCATGAGTCTAGGTCCAGAGTAGCGATGTAACTTTTCTTCAGAACGAAAAGTGAGAAATTTTATCTATGTATGTATATATGTATATAAACACACATACATATACAAAAAATTTTTACTTTTCACGTTTTCGCTTAGAAAAAAAGTTACACATCGCTAGCCATCTATGGAACAAGTCGAAATAATGGATTTTGATCAGAATTATTTAATTGTTTCCTAGATTTCTTTCGTGTAGTTTAGAAAAAACAGAATAATTCCGATCGAAATTCATTCCGACATATTTCATGATATGTACCCAGATTCGTTTTCGCTAACACACATATATATATATATACACACATATATACATATATATATATACACATTCATTTCACTTCAAGTACAAAAAGTATATACTTTAGTTTAGTTATAAAAAAAATAGACACATTATGTAGATGTCTAATAAAGTAGATTTATCGCATTACAACACAGAACTTGTAGCAACATTGCTTACAACGCTTACAATGTTGCTAGAACAAGCTGTCCTATATGGGAGCATGCAGGGCAAACGTCCTTAGATATTTAGAGAGCATGGAGATATCTTCCGGATTTCTTTAGAATGGGTTTAGAACATCTATTTGAGATCTATACTATATCAATATTTGTCAGATTAGTATATCGTGCTCGCCGAAAATACCCATATAGCACAGAATTTGCAGCATTATCACTGCAATAACACTACAATATTGCAGCTATAATGTTATAGGATTGTTGCTACAATTTTTGTTCTGTAAAGATAATCTCAATTACAAAAATGACTCACCATTTTCTTCGCCATCGGTGATGATTCGGCGGACAATTCCTGTTCAAGTAGATAAAGAACATACAATTATATTTTACAGACGCAATTTACAAAAATCAATATTTCGCGACCATGAGTTCTAGATTTGCTTACCATCCAAGCTCCTTCGGCACCGTTTCCTCTTCTCACAGCCAAAATTATCGCGATCATTAACGCGATGCGATGAAGATCGTTTAAAACTGAACTCTTTCGGCAATTTATCAGATAGCTGCTTCGAGAATCGCAAGCTACGTGAATCGATATCTCAGCGCGATTGGCGCGGCGAACCGTGATTGACTGGCAACGTACGGTTGGCAACACTGAATGTAGTTAAGCGACGTAGTGATGTTGCGTACTTCACTTCCGATGCTCCCGATTCAGTTTGTATACCTTCCGACCTAACCTACAAGAGCTGTGGTTTTGCTGTCCGCAAATTACTTTAAAGCTGTAAATTTCAAGATCTAATCGTACACGTAAAAAGCTAGTGCTACAAGATGTCGGAGCGTAAAGTTTTGAATGTAAGTACGAAACGAATAATTGCTTTTTATATTCTCCATATTCACCTGTACGCTTTGATACCCTGTAGTGTTGATTTGTACTTTCATCTCTCTTATTTTTTATATTTTAGAAATATTATCCGCCGGATTTCGATCCGTCGAAGATCCCGCGAATGAAACTGGCGAGAAATCGCCAATACACCGTGCGATTAATGGCACCGTTTAATATGCGATGCAAAACATGCGGTGAATATATCTACAAGGGCAAGAAATTTAATGCGCGTAAGGAGGACGTCGAGGGCGATGATTACTTGGGCATACGCATTTACAGGTTCTACATTAAGTGCACCCGCTGCTTGCAAGAGATATCTTTCAAGACAGATCCAAAGAATACGGATTACGAGATCGAGGCAGGTGCCACGAGAAATTTTATGGCATTGAAATTAGCTGAGGAACAGGCACAAAGGGAAGAGGATGAGGAGAAAGAGGAAGAGGCTACCAACCCGATGAAACTTCTGGAAAAGAGAACACTCCAATCTAAGCAAGAACTGGAGCTGTTAGAATCTTTGGAGGAATTGAAGGATTTAAATCGGAGGCAGCAAACTATAGATTATGATCAAATGTTGGAACAGTACGATACCGAAGCTGCTAAGCAGAGAACAGAAAAGGAACAAGAGGAATTGGATGAACAGTACATTAAATCTGTATTTGGCAAAAGACAATTAACTGGAACTGTTGTGGAAGAAGAAATTGAAGAGTTGGAAGAAGAAGAAGAAAGAAAAAATGTTCAACCTCCTACTAAAATACTCAAAACAAACGAAGCAAATGACAAAGAAACAGTAAGACTTTAATCTTATATTTAATACATTTTATTTATCGTTTGTTCTTATATTGTTTGCTTTTTTATTTAGTAAATTTTCGTTTGTTGTTTACAAGAAAAATTTAATTGGGGACATTAAAACTCACAATAACTATTGATTATTTGCAGGAAAATTTTGGGCATTCTTCAAAATCTGCTAAAGCATCATTGTGGTCGGAAAATATGGGATTATCATCTGGTAAAAAGAATTCATCTACTTTAGTTAAGAAAAGTAATATTGGAATAAAGATAAATGCCAAGTCGTCACAAAGTAAAACATCCAAGATGGAAAATACTGTTTTTTCCGATAAGGAAACAGTTCTACAATCGAACAAAACACCCAACGCTTCAACGAGTACATCGAATACAGTAAATACAGACACAAAATCTGATAATGTTAGCAATATTCTCCCATTACGGTCTCTCGTAGGTGCCTATTCGGATAGCAGCGATAATGAAAGCGATTAATAGCAGAAATAAATTAATATATTTTTCACGTATATATTTTCAATAGAATATCACATAAATATTGTTGTACAAAATAAACGGGGTCTACAAAAACGTATTTGTATAAACATATACGTTATTTGTATTAAAATATATAATGTAATATATGTATCGTATAAAATTTTTAATTTACATATTATTTTAGGAATGTATACCTGCAAATTAGATATTAGACGTGTACATATAAATAATTTTTTGTAAAATCCAATAGATCGCAGGTTGATATTTAGAGGCTGTGCCGACGGTTACAGAGTTTCTTACAGGATGCCGAAGGTTTTACTCCTAAAACATAAAAGGATAAGTTATCAGAAATGTAGAAAAATTAATATTCGATCTGTTTGCAAGGCTAGGCACTCTGTAAGAAATTCTGTCGTCATATTACATCCATACCGATACAAAATAGCAGGCAGTACCTAGCCTACGAAAACAGGTCATAATTAACACATTTGGGATAAAAGAACTATAAAAAAAACTTTAAAAATGATATTGGAATGAAAAATGTATACAAATGAAAATGTATATAAAAATAGTCTCGAGTGTGTCAATAATGTCCACTTATATTTGTAATGACAACGATTAATTCATTAAAATTGATATTTGTAAATATTAATGTTATTATAATTTATAGAATTAATTAATAAAATATCAATTGTCAACATAAAAACGATTATAAAATTTTAAAAGATTCGATGAAATATATTATTAATATAGAACTTCAAAGTGATATAATTATCATTTGATCTTTCAGAAATACTTTTGAATTAAATCGACAACTATCGCCCAGAATGAAATGATTAATTATAATATATGTAAATAAGATGCATTGTAAAATGCATATACTCTATGTGAGAAATAATAGCATTATGTCGTACGAATAGTCGGATTATATCGTCGAAGAGAGCAGTCGTGAAGAGATTGCCTTGGCAAACGGCTATGATATCGACAATAATGATGTTCGCGACGACGACATGACTCTCTGTTACAATCCTTCGCATTATTACGGACACCAATAGGATTAACGAAGAAACAATCCGTATTCTCCTCTGACGAACTGAGCTCGTGAAATTTGTTTAAGCGACCCGTTGGTTCGCCGAAGGCTTCCAAAGCTGAGGAATTCATTAGCCAGCCATAAAGAGATTTCCGAATGCGATGATTTTCAATTCGATGGATTACGTCACCCCTGAATTTCTTGCATTCCCGCCGACATTGTTCGCAGATGAAAACCTCTTCCTTATCGAAAGAAGTGCGATACCAGTCGTTAAGATGAAACTTTTTTGACGGAGAATCGAAACTTTTCGTGGGTAAAACGTGACGCGAAGAATATCGATATCGCGGGGATCCTTGTGAATGCGGATCAACAAACTGAAACGTTGACGCGGATGCTTCCAATAACGCTCGTCTCGACTCGCAAGAAAAAGCACGTGACAGTCTGTCATCGACGACGCCTGATCGAGGTTTACGTAAATATTTCTTCATAACGTACCGATTGCTGTCATTTTTAGTCTTCTCCCGCAAGCTAACTTCTAATTGCGCGATGCGATGCTCGAGTCGCGTACGTTGCGCTTGTGCGCGGTCTTGCTGATCTTCTAATAGCTTCACCAGCTTTTCCAGTCGCATCACCTGCATTTGTTTGCTCTCCAGCGTGGCGTACAATTCTTGAATTGCTTCTGTCTTTGCCGCAATCTGCTTGTTGATCTGGATAATTACACATAATTATTATTAGACCAAACCCAAAGAGATTCGATCAGCTAAGTTTGGTTTAACAGATTTTGTAAAGTGAAAAATTTTATCAGCAGGAAATTAGATGCAGAATTTATTCTAGATGATGTGGTGACAGAATTCCATAATTTATATGATTTGATAGCTGATTAGTGGCAAAAACCGAAATTGGCAGCAGAACTCGAATAGAATTTGCGTCTGACAAGTTATACAGACTCTACTGACAAAACATAATGCTTAATATGGATATCGATAGTAGCGAATCTGCTGTATTTTTCTGATTAAATTTGCTGCTAATTTGTTTTGACATTTTACGGACAATTTGACTTACTGAGAATATAATAGCGAAAGCAATACAAACAGTAAGGCATCGGTTGTATTATACAGACTTTATAGTCTCAATTAAAAATTAGAAAGATTTATTGTATTTAATTTATCTATTATGTGAGAGAAAATTAGAAAGCTATAAAGAATGTCAAACATTACTTCATCAATATTTTCGTTATTTTCGTTAGGATTTTCCGCGTTCGCCTGCTTTCCTTTAAGGATGTCCAACAGTTCCTCCCGAACTTTGAGGAATTTGCTTTGCTCGCGCATCACCCGATCACGTTGCTCCAATTCCAGTTGCTTTTGTGTCAGGGTGGTCTCTAGCTCCTGGTTTTGTTGAATGACCTCAGCTAAGCTGTTCCGTAGATCGCTAATCTGTTGCTGAAGCTCCATTGTATCAAGACCCTGGGTCTTGCTATTTTCTTTCAATCTCGCTTGAAGACGATGCTGAATCTCGGTTAACTGATTTTCCAACGCTTCATTTCTTTCTTGCCTACGTATTAAAAGGTACAAATGTAAATTCAAAACTGAAATCCGAAAGTAAAAATCAAAATTGAAATTAGGATTCCTTATAGAATTAGAAAAAAATAAAAAATTGAACTGAGATTAAAATTAATCTTACATTAGTGGAGCCAAGTCTTGAACTATTAAAGTAATTATGTAGAATGCTCAAGCTGATTACTAGAATATTAAAATTTTTTGCATCGTTTATCATGCTTGAATTTTCTACATAAATATTTCGATAGTCCAACAAAATTATTTTCATATTTACATCTAACAATTAAATTTTTTAGAGATTTTAGAAAAATCGTTTTTTCTATATTTGAAATGAAAATATTATGTTAATTTTCATTAATTTTGTCTCATATTTAAAGACATTTTATAGATACACGTTCAAGTAGCAGACATTGACAGGATAATATTCTAACGTGATGTTGAAGCGTACGCAAATCTGGCAATCTTCTGGAGCCGGGCGTGCTCTAACATGAGATTTTGAAGATCATGAGTCTTGGTTACAAGTTCGGCAGCCAATCTGTCCTTCGTCTCGTCTTCGTTATCGTGGCTCTGTTAATGAACGAAAAGGACTACTAATTAAAACTAATTTTGGAGAACTTACAGGAGACGAAAATCACGATCTAACGAGCAAGAGAAAGCGAATTAAATGGTTTTTAGTTCTTATATGAGTAGAAATCTCGAAAGTAGTGCAAACTAACAGCCGCCTGATGCATCACAGTGACAATCTCTTGCTTTTCCCTCTCGAGTTGCTCGTTCTTCTCCTTCTGTTTTTCTAGCTCGGCTCTGGCTGCCATCAAATCATTATACAGGCAAACCTCGTTCTCCGTATGGCCATTATCTAAAGACCGATAATCGAAATGAAAGCTTTCGACGAGTAATATATAATGCTCAGTGTTAATGTTTCGTTTAAAATGTAAATGAGAAATTTTCTCGATACTTCAAAATTGCTGAGCTTACCTACCTGTAACAGCTATATTATTGCTTTTCCCAGACGCGAACTCGCAGAGTAGCTGGCTCTTCTCTTCAAGGTGTTTACAACGTTCTTCCATTTCAGTTAGAGCATGTTCGGCTTGTTGCCTACAATGAATTTAATACAAGAATTATTTAATAGCGAATTTAAAAAAAAAACTATCATAAATTTCTAAATTTTATCTAAGAAAGAGAATATATATGAATAACCTGAAGTGTATATATTTCTTATTACCCATTCTCTTTCTTTAACTCTTATTGTTAGATAAACAGAAAATTTAATTGTGATAAAGTTGTAAAGGATTTTGTTTTTTTTAAAGTTAACGTAAAGTATATATATATATATCATTATCCATATACATGAAAAATATTAAAATAAAATAATATAATAACTATACAATCATTTTTCTTTAAAGAAATGATTGAAAAAATTATTTTAAATTCTTAAGATTTAATTATTAAATTCTTAAAACTATACTTTACCTCTTTTCTCTCTCTTCGATGATCTCTACATCGATTGTTTCAAATTTTTCTGATAACTCCTTAATAGTAGCATTTGCTTCCGCTTCC